CTTTCCTACCCTTCTTGATGTGACTTTTTCTTCATATCTTTGGCTGTGGAAGAATTTTCTGCTAGTCTCCAAGTCATTTTCTGAAAGACCTGCTCCAAATGTAGTCACAGGTATGTCTCCGGGAGGAGGTAAATTCAGGATATTTCTACTCAGCCATCTTTCCCTCTAAGAGTGATAACTTGATTTCTTTTTTTTATATAATTTGATTTCTAGTGTACAAGTCCAAAGAGGAATTTTGATCCAGAATGGATCATATCCAGAGTTTAATCCTTACCTATTTTAGGTGATGAGATTTGGCATTTTTTGAGCTGATAATATTAAATGAGAGGGGCACCTGAGTGGCTCAGTCAGTGAAACATCTGCCTTCAGTTCAGGCCATGATCTCAGGGTGCTGGAATTGAGACCCATATGAGGCTCCCTACTCAGTAGAGCCGGCTTGTCCCTCTGTCTTTCCCCTGCTCTTTCTCTCTCTCTCAAATAAATAAATAAAATCTTTAAAAATATATATTAAATGAGATTTTGGCCTTGAGTTCATATTGCAATATATTGAGAAATTTGGGGATATAATGATATAGTACATGTGGAGTAGACATAAATCTTAGGGGACCAGAGGGCAGATTACAGGAGAGTGAATAATTCCACCCCTCCCAAAGATATTCTATTTCCTGGAATTTATGTGTGTTATCTTATAACAATAACAAAAAAAGACTGCCGGTGTGATTTAAGTTAAAGATATTGATATAGGGAGATTATCCTGGATTATTTGGGTGGATCCTAAATGTATCACAGGTGTCCTTAACAGAGGGAAGCAGAAGGAAATTTGACACCAACAGAAGGGGGGATGTGACATGACCATGGAGGCAGAGATTAGAATGATGCAGCCACAGCCAAAGAATGCTGACAGCCACCAGAAGCTGGAATAGCAAGCAGCAGATTCTCTCCTAGAGCCGCTGAAAGAAGTACAGCCCTGCTGACACCCTGAATTCAGTCCAAAGAAAATAATTTTAGATTTCTAGCCTCCAGAAATATGATAAAATTAATTTCTGTTGTTTTATGGCTCAAAATTTTTGATAATTTCTTACAACAGCCAAAGGAAATTTCGGTGATTTTAAAAGATTATGGAGATTATGTTGAAGGCCCTTTGGAGTTTTAAGATGCATTTATTCATTCGGCAACCAACAGATATTTGAGGCAAAAAAAAAGTAATTAAAACAGACTTTGGGGTGCCTGGGTGGCTCAGCAGCTGAGTGTCTGCCTTCAGCTCAGGTCATGATCCCAGGGTCCTGGGATCGAGTCCCACCCGCATCAGGCTCCCCACAGGGAGCCTGCTTCTGCCTCTGCCTATGTCTCTGCCTCTCTCTCTGTGTCTCTCATGAATAAATAAATAAAATCCTTTAAAAAAGAATATAGTAAAAAAACACAAACTTTGGACTCAATTCAACTTGGGAGTGAATTCTAGCTCTGCCACCCACTGATTATGTGACCTTAATCAGGTTGCTTAACCCTCTGAGCCTCAGTCTCAACATCTGCACAATGGGGATAACAGTACTTAATTCAAGGTGAGGTTCTGAAAATTACATGGGATGATGTGCATAAAGGCCTTTGTGCCGGCAACAAGGGTCATTGCCCTGTCCCTGTCCTAAGAGAGCTCTGTCATTCTGGGAAGAACAACTTAGCGAGATCAGGGCTGTGGATTGAAAGCACAGGGGAATTGGGGACTCCTTGGAGGCACTCATGGTGGGGAGGAGGAGAGAATTCCTGGAGAAAGTAACTTCTGAAGCCCCTGAGGTACACAGCAAACTGTAATTACATGGACACTCTTTTTAATACTATTGTAAATATTACTATTAAGGGGTAAGACTTGTTCCTGGTTATTGGGTTTCTAGAAAAGGTGCATTTTTTAAAAAAAGTTATTCACAAGAGACACACAGAGAGAGGCAGAGACATAGGCAGAGGGAGAAGTAGGTTTCCTGCCGGGACCCCTATGTGGGACTAGATCCTGGGACTCCGGAATTACACCCTGAGCCAAAGGCAGATGCTCAACCACTGCGCCAGCCAGGTGTCCCAGAAAAGTGCATTTCTAAAAGCCCATTTCAAAAATGGGAAAAAAGTAAAGTTTAAAATGAAATGATTCCCCTCTCCCACTGAGTTTACATGGGGAGTTGGGCAGGCCACCACTGACACATACACCACCACCACCATTGCCTTGATCCTCCATCCCTCACCATGACTGAGGAGCTTTACACATCCTACACCAAAGATGATTTCTACTGCCCCACCTATTAGAGGTGCTCAAAACTGCCATGCAGCCATGGCTTATCAGCACATCTTCTATAAAAAATGTTTTCTGACTGTAACAAGAGAAAACAGGATATGTTATCCCCTATGTTATGGAAATGTGACTAGAAGAGAGAGAGAGACTGTCCTGAATAAGCCTTAGACTTTGAAACTATCATGAGGAAGTTTTCTGGTAGCTGTAAATGCTGTGCAAAACAGACTAAATTCTATTATTTGAGGCTTCATTATAAATCTTGTTAAGGGGCAGCCCGGGTGACTCAGCAGTTTAGCACCACCTTTGGCCCAGGGTATAATCCTGGAGACCCGGGATGGAGTCCCATGTCTGGCTCCCTGCATGGAGCCTGCTTCTCCCTCTGCCTGTGTCTCTGCCTCTCCCTCTGCCTGTGTTTCTCATGAATAAATAAATAAAATCTTAAAAAAAAGAAGTATCAAGATGAATACGATGTTTCCTCTCTCATTCCAAACTTTCAGATCTCTCAAGATTAAGTAGGGAACAGTAATAAAACACTCATCTCTGAGAACACAGAGACTTGTGAAGAAAATACAAGTTTTTCTGGGCATCTCACTTTTTAAAAAAAAAATTATTTACTTATTCACGAGAGACACACAAGAGAGAGGCAGAGACATAGAGGGAGAAGCAGGCTTTCTTCAGGGAACCTGATGCAGGACTAGATCCCAGACCCTGGAACCCCAACCTGAGCCAAAGGCAGATAGATGCTTAACCACTGAGCCACCCAGTTATCCTGGCATACAACCTTTAAGTGTTCCTTTTGTCCAGGATCAATTTTTACTTAACATTTATGGAAGCACTGCAACAATGATCAGATAGCTCCTATTTCAGATAGTTCCTGTGATGCGTCCTATTTGTGTGTCTCTTTGTTGGGAAGCTCCTAGCCAAATTACTAGACATTTTGTTAGTCATCTAATCAAAGACATCAGTTTGATTACAGATAACTTGTTAATCTTCATTTAGAGAGGGAAACCCAATATCGGACTGCCATTGAAAGATCTTTTCAAGTAAACATATGAAGACTATAGACATTTCTGTACCTTCATACCTGAAAGTGCTATCTTTAATGGGACAACTATATGAAGTCACTGTTTCAATAACTTGACGTGTATATTAACAAAAGTAATTCAGTCTAAAAAAAGTTTAAAATTCTTAAGTCACTAGAGAGGTCCTAAAAACCCCATATCTGAGGAAATTGGAGACTGATAGCAAGGATTTGAGGTGGTGGCCTCATATTTACCATTTGTTAAAACTAAATAACAAATGCAGAGCAGAAAGTAGCTAGATACATAAAGGAACAGGAGAATCTGAGCATGCGCACCAATGAGCCTATGGCATCTGGAGGGGCCAAGTCTGGCAGAGCACAGTCCCACTTGAGGCGGGAAAACCAGCCCCCCTTGAAAAGACGGTCCTGTCCCTGGAGCTGGATTTAGAGACCCCGTTCTCGACTCACTTGCCCCGCCTACTTTCCTAACCCCTGATTGGCCATTTCAAGTTCATTAACTGTTCTGATTGGTTGATTATCGCTGGGCAGTGGAATTGTGGGATATCATCTCGTGGAGCGATTCTTTGCCGCCGCCACTTCAAGCCTGAGGTAAGCTTTCTCTTTAGATCCTCTTAAACAAGTTAAAGGTAGGCTAGTAAAATGTGAGGAACCTCTCCAGCTCACTCGGATAGTTTAGTTCTTGCTGTACCTTCCAGCAGCCTCCAGATCCTTAGGACGGAGAAATGACTTAAAGCTTTTCGGAGCGATTGCTCTCAGGCTAAGATAAAACTAAAACTATTTTCGGTCCGTGAGACTTTTTCTAATTGCTCTTCCTCAGGGAAAAAGAACTCACCTTGGCCTGAGAAACCCCAAAATCAGCTAGACGTCCCTAGGTTTCTTTAACCGAAGAAAATAGACGCTGCCTAAGTGACTCTTTTATCGCCAACTCTAGGATAAAGCAGAAACTTTCTTGGCGTCAGAGACCCCTAAATTTCCTCTCCCTAAGAGATTCCCAATGCCATCAGTTGGGGAACACCAGATTGCTGCATTGAAACTCTCCGCATTCTCAGCCGGTGATGGCTAATCCCGTAGTTGGAAATTCCAGTTCTCTTCACGCTAATAATTTTCAAATAACCTAGTAATGGGCTCTAAATCCGCTCTATATTAGCAATCCTTGTTTCTTTTCAACAAAGCAAATCCCTCTGCCTGAAAACCCAAACCCATTTTTAAGAGACAAATCTATGAGACTTATCTCCCCACCCTTCTGCTTCAAAAGTCACCCCCTCCATAAAATTACTTGTTCAAAAAAAAAAAAAACAACTACTTGTTCACTTCACTGTTTCCCCAATAAGGATCTTAATATATTTCCTTCAGTATAAGCCAAACTTCAGGCAAACTACTAATAACAGTAGCCAACCTTCTCTCAAAGACTCAAGGCTGCCTTGATCATGCTTACAGAAAACCTGCTGTCCCTAATCAATACTTTCTTTCATAGATCTCCCACCCCCTATTTGTTTGTTTTTTGTCACCCCCCCCATCCTTTCTCAGGAACAGATAAACCCAGGACGGAGAAAAGTAGAACCTTGATTCCATGTGATTAACTGGATATAACCTACCTTCAGTGCTTTCTCCCTTCCTCAGGATCTTTGGCATTGTGGCTAGAGAGATTAGGTTCTGTCCTTTTGGGATCAGACCATTCCCAGCACCATGAATAAAGGCAGCTCCTTTGCAAAGAGCTCCAGGGAGGATACCCAGAAATCAGAGAAGAAATGCAAGGTAAGGGATCTGGAGGGGGTAGAGGGATGGCCCAGGGGACACTAGATGGACTAGATTTCTGAGGAGGTGAGGTCAGAGGCACTGGGGAAAGGGATCAGGGTGTAGGGGAAATCCAGAGCCTCAGGAGCTTCCCATCTTCACTCTATCCTCACCTAACATCTCTGGAGACAATAGGTCTGTGACCTTGCACTGCATTTGGTGACTCTCACTCCATTCTGGAAAGTGAAAGAGCATGCTACCAGCATTAAGCATCTACTGCATGCCTGAGGAGAGGGTAGGGAATGTTACCTATGTTCTTTTTTTTAAGATTTTATTTATTTATTCATGAGAGACACAGAGAAAAAGAGATACAGGCAGAGGGAGAAGCAGACTCCCTGCAGGGAGTCCCGATGTGAGCCTTGATCCCCGGATCCAGGATCCGGGATCAGGCCCTGAGCCAAAGACAGACACTCAGGCACCCCTATCCATGTTCTCTCTGTTAGCCTTGACATTAACCAGGAGGGATTATTAGCCCCAGTTCACAGATCCAACATGGACCTGTAGCAGAGAAAGAAACCTCAGCTGATGATCAGACATGTTTAGCTGACTTGCTGCTAAGATTTATTTATTTTTCTTTCCCAGGCTTTCAAGGATATTTCCAAATACTTCTCTAAGGAAGAATGGGCAAAGCTTGGCTACTCAGATAAAATCACCTATGTGTACATGAAGAGAAACTATGACACCATGACTGGTCTAGGTAACAGAAAGTTTGGGTGCAGACAAGCCTGTGAACACGTGACCATCCCTCAGTCCCTTTACATGCCATGGCTTCTTCCTAGGCTGCAGCAAGTGTCCCACACCTTCCTTTTGTGCGGGGGTGGGGGGTGGGATCCTAGGGCAGCTTTGGGACGCTCTGCTGTTTTATATTCTGTGCAGGACTGCGGGCCTGGAGTGGCCACAAAGATGCTCAGACCTATATTTTGCATGTTTCTCTTCTGCTTACCCTTGTTTGGAATCCCCTAGCTCATAAGCTTGCCTGCCTCTGCTGCCTCCCAGGATTCTATCTTGCATTCCTCCTCTTGGGCTGTCTCTTAAGGAACAAATATTTTTGCTTCTTTCTAGGTCTCAGGGCCACCCTCCCAGCCTTCATGTGTCCTAAAAAACGGGCCATAAAATCCAAGAGGCATGATTCTGATGAAAATGAGAACCACAGGAATCAGAGTGAGTGGAAGGAAGGGCCTGGGGAGAGTCTCCTGAAGCCCAGCTGCTTTGGGGTCCAGTTCTAGGGAAGGAGTCTCAGAGTTTGTTACCTCCAAAGCATCGTGGCTGAGTGAGAAAAGTTGTATGTAGGTTAAGCATGGTCAGAGGCCATTCATATAAAATCCTAAAGCATGCAAGACAAGAGTATATATATTTTATGGATAATGAGTAAATGGTAAATGTATAAAAACCAGAATGAGAATAAAACCCATCAAATTCAGGAGTGCATAAGGAAGGAGGTCAGGGATCAGAGAGGACTGCACAGATGGCTTCAGCTGTGACTTGTTTATAGTGTTATATTTTGAATAAAGATCTAAAAATAATCTGAAGTAGCTGTGGTATATGGTAAGTTCTGACTAGACTCAGTGGTAAATAGGCATGTGTTTCCAATATTATTCTCCATAATTTTCTGTACATTTGAAACATTTCTTTTTTATTTTTTTTAAGATTTTATTTATTTATTCATGAGACACACACACACACACACACACAGAGGGGCAGAGACACAGGCAGAGGGAGAAGCAGACTCCATGCAGGGAGCCCGACATGGGACTCGATCCCGGGTCTCCAGGATCACGCCCTGGGCTGAAGGCAGGCTAAACTGCTGAGCCACCTGGGGTGACCGAAACATTTATTTTTTTAAAGGAGTTATTGTTCTTGCTAAACTCTGTTAATGAATCACAGGACAATTAAGAAAAATTTAATTTGGGGCATGTAGGTAGCTTAATGGGTTAAGCATTTGCATTTGGCTCCTCTTGACCCCGGAATCCTGGGATCAAGCCTCGTATCAGGCTCCCTGCTTGGCAGAGAGTCTGCTTCTCTCTCTCTCCTTCTCCCTCTCCCTCTGTGTGCACTCTCTCTTTCTCTAACAAATAAATATGTAAATATTTTTTAAAATTTAATTTAAGCATAAATCCATGTGGAGCACCTGGCTGTCAGTAAAGCATGTGACTCTTGATCTCAGGGTGAATTCAAGCCCCACGTTGGTCACAGAAACTACTTCTTTAAAAAATGTAGGGGCGCCTGGGTGGCTCAGTCGGTTGAGCGTCTGCCTTTGGCTCAGGGCATGATCCTGGAGTCCCGGGATTGGGTCCCACATGGGGCTACCTGCATAGTAGCCTTGTTCTCCCTCTGCCTGTTTCTTTGCCTCTCTTTCTGTGTCTCATGAATAAATATTTGTTTATTTATATATATTTATTATGATCCTTGAGTCATGATCCCCACAATCTGGGGATCACGACCCGAGCCAAAGGCAGACACAACCACTGAGCCACCCAGGCATGGGATCTAGCCCCACATTGGGCTCCACGCTCAGCACAGAGTCTGGTTATCCCTCTCCCTCGCCCTGCTTGTGCTAGCCCGTGCTTTCTCTCTCTCTCAAATAAGTAAATAAAATATTTTTTAAAAATAACATTGAAATTAAAAGGTATAAATCCACAAAAAACTTCCAGGCTCAATTTCATAATAGGGTATAGGTATTGGATAAATATCTTAAGAAAGAGTGATTAATATATTATGAAGTGAAACAGCTATTTTCCTGTTTTACCAAAACCAAATAGTCTTCTTGCTCCTAATCAAACCTGATTCTATCTGTTGAGCCTGGGAGCGGGTCTGAGAAAGTGATCTCTACACATTGAGCTTTTCTCCTTATCAGTGAGCAGAGGTAACATATGGTGAAAAAGGTAGCAGATTCTAGAAATCTTTGTGTATTTGATCATGTGTGTACTCACTATAAAGGGATGAGATGTATTCACTTCTTTTCTGCTCTGACAGCACAGTGGTAAGCAGAGTCAGAATTTTCAAACTGTCTCCAATAGACCTATGAGTCTCTAGGAAAATAGGCCAGATTCCACAGGCTCCCAAAATGACTGAGAGAGCTGAAAATCTAGTGCTTGAGAATCTACAAAGTTTCTGACACTAAAGGAGTAACTTTATTCTAGAAACATTTCAGATTCACTGGGCTAAATCATCCAGGGTTCCTCATACACTTGATGGCTTTGTTGAAGTTTAATTGGCATACTATAAAATTAACCTGGCTTAAGTGGATAGTGATTTTTGTTGCCACATAACTTTAAGTGAAAGCAATCAATTTAATTTAATTAATTCAATCAGTTTAATTTCTTTAGGGGGAAGAAGTAAGAAATATATACTAGAATAGGATGAGGCAGTGATGGGGTTTGGTTCACATTTTATAAATCATCAAAAGGAAATTATGAATGGCACCACAAATAAATGAATAAACCATGATTTAAAGATAATTCAAGGGGATCCCTGGGTGGCTCAGCGGTTTAGCGCCTGCCTTCAGCCCAGGGTGTGATCCTGGAGACCTGGGATCAAGTCTCACGTCTGGCTCCCTGCAAGCCTGCTTCTCCCTCTGCCTGTGTCTCTGCCTCTCTCTGTGTGTCTCTCATGAATAAATAAAATCTTTTAAAAAAATAAAATAAAAAATAAAGATAATTCAAAAGCCAGTCTCAAAATAACTTCTGGATAATGAGTGGACTCATAACCCTTTCCTGCAGAATTCCCTGATACTATATGAGTCTTTGGAGTTTGGGAATATTTGCCAACAAAGTAAAATTACCATTTATCACTTTTTTTTAGATGAACCTCTTCAGGAGGTTTCCAATGTGAAAAAGAGAAAACACCAGAAGGTGAGTGTCTCCCAAATCTAAAAAAACAGACTGTTTCTCCACGGATGTGAATATTGGTAAGAGTGGGAGAATATTGAATATACCCTGGCCCTCACTGCCTGCCTTTCCTGATCCCTTTATCACAATTCCTTTTTTTTAATAAATTAATTTTTATTGGTGTTCAATTTACCAACATACAGAATAACACCCAGTGCTCATCCCATCAAGTGTCCCCCTCAGTGCCCGTCACCCATTCACCCCCACCCCCCACCCTCCTCCCCTTCCACCACCCCTAGTTCCTGATGTAGCATCATCAATAGCTTAATGAGTAGCAATTGTGGTAGCCGATATTATTTTAAGCAATTCACAAGGATTAATTTCTTTAATCCTTCAGAAAACTTCTATGACATTTTCCTAAATGTATTCTCAGATAATGAGGATAATAATAATAATAACTAATCATAAAGATGAGGATATTGTGGTACAGAGATTTTAAGTAATTTGCCTGAGACCACAGTGGCAATGGTAATAATCTGTACATTTTAAACATTTCTTTTTTTAAGGGGGTTATTGTTCTTGCTAGACACTGTTAATGAATCACAGGACAATTAAAAGCCAGAAATGATTTTCCAGCTCATGAACCTTTTCATGTGTGTATGAAGTTCAAGGGCTCCCCCCCAAAGGGCTTTACCCCACAGAAGCTGCTGATGTTTTCATTTAGACACCCACTCTTGCAACAGAAGTACCAGCTCCCTTCTGCTCTGTGGCAGGGCCAGTCTCACGTGGCTTGGAAATGGCCTGGGCTGTCAGCCCCTCCCTACCGTGAGCTCCTTTCCAGTCTTGTCTGCACCTGAGGCATCTGTGAAGCCTCAGTCCCCAGCCCAGGGGGACCCTCTGAGGTGCCTGAATTTTTTATTGACTAAGTGATTCTGCAATTGTAGATGAAACTCTGGAGGGTAAAGGGCTCTGGAAGTTGGATTGCCAGCGTGGAGGCCATTGAGATGATTCAAAGAACAATCATAAGACAAAGTATTCATTTTCATTAATTAGCACAGTGAAAAGTTGTACTTTGACTTAGCTTTCTTTTGTTGTTCACTGTTTCATAAATGAGGGGACTGAATGAAAGGTAGCTTAAGATTGTTGGTCAGTGGGCAGCCCTGGTGGCTCAGCAGTTTGGCATCGCCTTCAGCCCAGAGCGTGATCCTGGATCACGTGATCCTGGGATCGAGTCTCATGTTGAGCTCCCTGCATGGAGCCTGTTTCTCCCTCTGTCTGTGTCTCTGCCTCTCTCTTTCTCTCTCTCAGAAATAAATAAAATCCTTAACAAAAAATATAATAAAATAAAAGATTGTTGGTCAGTGATGCACCCCTACAGCAGCAATATTGGTACAGGAACCATTTTGTGTAATTCCACATTAAACATTCTTGCCAGGGTAGGACAGGATGTGACATCTGGCGCTTTTTTTTAAATGTATTTTTTTAATTTATTTTTTAATTGTATTTCAATTTGCCAACATATAGCATAACACCCAGTGCTCATCCCTCCAAGTGCCCCCCTCAGTGCCCATCACCCAGTCACCCCCACCCACTTCCCTTCCCCACCCCTTGTTCATTTCCCAGAGTTACGAGTCTCTCATGTTCTGTCTCCCTTTCTGATATTTCCCACTCATTTTTTTCTCCTTTCCCCTTTATTCCTTTTCATTTTTTTTAAACCAGGCAAAATGTAGTGTTTTTTTTGTTTTGTTTTTAATTTTTATTTATTTATGATAGTCACACACAGAGAGAGAGAGAGGCAGAGACATAGGCAGAGGGAGAAGCAGGCTCCATGCACCGGGAGCCCGACTTGGGATTCGATCCCGGGTCTCCAGGATCGCGCCCTGGGCCAAAGGCATGCGCTAAACCGCTGCGCCACCCAGGGATCCCAAAATGTAGTTTTTATTGATAGGTAACTTGTGTAACATATGACATAATTTTATTTTTTTTCAATTTTTTTAATAAATTTATATTTTATTGGTGTTCAATTTGCCAACATATAGAATAACACCCAGTGCTTATCCCATCAAGTGCCCCCCTCAGTGCCCTTCACCCAGTCACCCCCACCCCCCGCCAACCTCCCCTTCCACCACCCCTAGTTCCTTTCCCAGAGTTATGAGTCTCTCATGTTCTGTCTCCCTTTCTGATATTTCCCACTCATTTTTTCTCCTTTCCCCTTTATTCCCTTTCACTATTTTTATATTCCCCAAATGAATGAGACCGTATAAAGTTTGTCCTTAACCCGATTGACTTATTTCACTCTGCATAATCCCCTCCAGTTCCATCCACGTCAAAGCAAATGGTGGGTATTTGTTGTTTCTAATGGCTGAGTAATATTCCATTGTATACATAAACCACATCTTCTTTATCCATTCATCTTTCGATGGACACCGAGGCTCCTTCCACAGTTTGGCTATTGTGGACATGGCTGCTAGAAACATCGGGGTGCAGGTGTCCCGGCGTTTCACTGCATCTGTATCTTTGGGGTAAATCCCCAGCAGTGCAATTGCTGGGTGGTAGGGCAGATCTATTTTTAACTCTTTAGGGAATCTCCACACAGTTTTCCAGAGTGGCTGCACCAGTTCACATTCCCACCAACAGTGCAAGAGGGTTCCCCTTTCTCCACATCCTCTCCAACATTTGTTGTTTCCTGTCTTGTTAATTTTCCCCATTCTCACTGGTGTGAGGTGGTATCTCATTGTGGTTTTGATTTGTATTTCCCTGATGGCAAGTGATGCGGAGCATTTTCCCATGTGCATGTTGGCCATGTCGATGTCTTCCTCTGAGATTTCTGTTCATGTCTTTTGCCCATTTCATGATTGGATTGTTTCTTTGCTGTTGAGTTTAATAAGTTCTTTATAGATCTTGGATACTAGCCCTTTATCTGATAGGTCATTTGCAAATATCTTCTCCCATTCTGTAGGTTGTCTTTGAGTTTTGTTGACGGTTTCTTTTGCTGTGCAGAAGCTTCTTATCTTGATGAAGTCCAATAGTTTATTTTTGCTTTTGTTTCTCTTGCCTTCATGGATGTATCTTGCAAGAAGTTGCTGTGGCCAAGTTCAAAAAGGGTGTTGCCTGTGTTCTCCTCTAGGATTTTGATGGAATCTTGTCTCACATTTAGATCTTTCATCCATTTTGAGTTTATCTTTGTGTCTGGTGTAAGAGAATGGTCCAGTTTCATTCTTCTGCATGTGGATGTCCAATTTTCCCAGCACCATTTATTGAAGAGACTGTCTTTTTTCCAGTGGATAGTCTTTCCTCTTATGTCGAATATTAGTTGACCATAAAGTTGAGGGTCCACTTTTGGATTCTCGATTCTGTTCTATTGATCTATGTGTCTGTTTTTGTGCCAGTACCACACTGTCTTGATGACCACAGCTTTGTAGTACAACCTGAAATCTGGCATTGTGATGCCCCCAGCTATGGTTTTCTTTTTTAATATTCCCCTGGCTATTCAGGGTTGGCGCTGCTTTCTTTGCTGTATCTATTCATCTCTGTGAACCATTCCTTTCCTCTCCCCTGTACTCATCTCCCGTGTACCATTTTCCAGCAGTGTTCTGTCCCCTCTGTGAATTCATACATTTACTCTCCCAGCAGCTCTCTACTAGCTTCCATGTGATCCCTTATATTTTAGAGAACCCCCTCCTTTCTTCCACAGATCACATGGATTCTTAGAATGCTATTCTTCCCCAAATCTTCTGTATACCACACTTCATTTACATGGAGCATTTTGCTGTTTGCAAGACTGCCTGGAAAGAAGGTGAAGACAAACATTCTAGTCCTGGAAACACCCTTCATTTAGGCCATTCCCTTTTGTTCTAACGTTACTCATAATTTAGGTAAATAATGATCTCCCAGAGTTGTTGAGGGCATTACTCAAGGTACTGCATGTGAAGACACTTTGTAAGCTCTAAAGCACTAGAGAAATGCCATTGATATTGTTTATATGTGACCTTCACATTAAAAAGGTGATGCTCAAAACGGTGAAGGAAGAAGAGGATTCAGACCCAATACCAATAACACCTGGATTTGAGCAGGCTCAGAAAGTGCTGTGCCTCCCTGGAAAAGCAAGTACCTCTGATCAACAGAGTGAGATAATACCAGGTAAGAGGTGGATAGCTATGTGGGAACAACTCCTCTGCATTTCCTGGCTGTGTTAAGTATGTGGTCTAAGTATGGGGGATGGATCCTGGACAGGCTTGTGGCCAGACCAGACTGAGGAGCTCACCCAGCTCCAGCTGGAATGTTAGAACATGACTTCCAGGGGCACTTGGGTGCCTCAGTCAGTTGAGTGTCTTCCTTGCGCACAGGTCATGATCCTGGAGTCCCGGGATTGAGCCCCACATTGGACTCCTTGCTTAGCAGAGAGCCTGCTTCTCCCTCTCCCTCTGCCCCTCCCTCAACTCATGCACTCGCTCGCTCGTTCACTCTCTCTCTCTCTCGAATACATAAATAAAATCTTAAAAAAAAAGAACCTGACTTCCAGAGTCACCAATTTGAATGGTCGTTGATATAAAAGCCAAGTGATTCTAGGCAAGTCTTCTAAAATCTCTGAACTCCAGATTCCTAGTCTAGAAAATGGAAGTAAAGAATCATAGTTCACAAACTGTTCAAAGGTGTTAGATCTAGAAAGCCTGACCTGAAAGGTCGTCAGGCAATTCCATCTGTGATAACCTGGGAACGTATCTGACTCACAGTTGTATTCCCAGCCCTCAACTCAATGCCTGACACACAATATGCCCTTAACAAACATAGGTTGAATGAATGAAGGTCTGAATGAATGTTCTGGTAAGTAAAGAGGTTGGGAATCTAAACCTGACAATGGGAGGAGCCAGCAGCTAAAATTCTAATTGGCATTTGATGTGTATTGGTGGAGGTCTAACATCTCAGCCTCTCTGAGCCAGAAGATGTGGCAAACAGACTGTTAAATGCCTGTGGGCACTAAAAAGGGAGGAGGCATCTCCTTATCTGACAAAACAGAGACTAACACTACCCAACCCATCCATCCCCCACTTACCACCTCTTCTCTACCATAGGACCCAAGAGAGGGAAGAATAGTATTTGGGCCTACAGACTGCGGGAGAGGAAGAACCTAGTAGTGTATGAAGAGATCAGTGATCCTGAGGAAGAGGACTAACTCTGTAAGTGACCTTTCAGTCCATACCCACACACCTACAAAATGTACTTTTCCATTATGGTACTGGCATCACATCTTGTCACTTGTTCCCCCAAATCATTACTTTCTCCTAGTCTCTTGAGGTGCAGTTTTGAGGCTAAATGATGAGGTTTCCCATGCTCTTTCTGCTCCATGCTCTGTATAGACAGGGATCCTCCCTACCTAGAATGCTGTGGGCTCCCAAACCCCAGGTCAGCTCCTGATGTGTAGGGCACACCTTCCTCTAGCCTAGAAACCCATAGTACAGGTAAGGGAGTCACTGTGGCATGAGCATAAGGTTCTCTTTGAGGAGCAGTGGGAGGTGCTTGCAGATCATGAGGTAGGGCAGAACCAGAGTGCTCGGGGTCTTCAGGTCTGGATGAGGAGTTCGGTATTGATTTATCGGTTAATCGGAGCTCACTGCCACTTATTTTCCTTCTCTTTCCTTGCCTCAACCTCAGGGATGTGACAAGTGCCCATGATAAGAAGCAGAACCTGGTGGCCTTTCAGGAACATGGGCATGGCTGTGAACTCCTAGTCATCAGGTGTATAGCAAGCAAGAGTTCACAATAGTGAAAAGTTAAGCGTGATTTTTCTTACTATATGCCAAGTATTCTGTTAGATATTAGAGTTTTGTTAATGAGCAAGACATATACTTAATGCATATTTCTTTTTGTATATCCATGCACTTAACTTAGAAAACAAGTATTGTCAGCTATTCTATGCCCAGAACAGCACTACCCTCTTTTGCTGATGTGATTACTGGGAGCGGTTCTGGTTGTTTGCACATGTTTTTCTCTGTATTTACACACACACACACACACACACATACACGGTACCACTGTAAGTATCTCCCCCCTGCGTTTGCCTGCTACCAGCACACCCCAGACAAGTACCCTTCATCTTGTTCCTGTTCAGCAGGTGCTCTGTGGTACAAACCTCCATTATTCATTTACATTTCATCAGTCATTGATAATTAATAAACATAAGTTTCAGCTGTTTGCTCATCTCATTCTTGTGCACAGAGCCCTGTGCATATGTGTGTTTCCTTAGCATACAGTCTTGGAAGTGGAATTGTTATGTCAAAGAGTTCATTCATTCAACAAACACCTACTGAACGTGTACTGTGTACCAAGCAGTCTCCTAGGTTCTGGAAAAACCTCAGGGAACAAGACAGATAAATGTCTGAGCCCGTGTGGAGCTGACATTCTAATGGGGGATGTTTTCAGTTTTCTTAAAGATTTTATTTATTTATTCATGAAAGACACAGAGAGAGAGAGAGAGAGAGAGAGGCAGACACAGGGAGAGGGAGAAGCAAGCTCCTTGCAGGAAGCCTGACGTGGGACTTGATCCCGGGTCTCCAGGATCACACCCTGGGCTGAAGGCAGCGCTAAACCGCTGAGCCATCCGGGATGCCCCTCCAGTTTTCATTTTGATGGACACTGTATACCCCAATCCTGGGGTGGGTGCTGGTTGGACACCTTGGCCTTCATGTCTTTTGCCCATTTCATGATTGGATTGTTTCTTTGCTGTTGAGTTTAATAAGTTCTTTATAGATCTTGGAAACTAGCCCTTTATCTGATATGTCATTTGCAAATATCTTCTCCCATTCTGTAGGTTGTCTTTTAGTTTTGTTGACTGTATCATGAAGACTCCTAACTCTGGGAAACGAACTAGGGGTGGTGGAAGGGGAGGAGGGCAGGGGGTGGGGGTGAATGGGTGACGAGCACTGAGGGGGGCACTTGAGGGATGAGCACTGGGTGTTATTCTATATGTTGGCAAATTGAACACCAATAAAAAATAAATTTATTATTTAAAAAAAAGAATAGACAACCCAGAAATGGGCCCTCAACTCTATGGTCGACTAGTATTCAACGAAGCAGGACAGAATATCCACTGGAAAAAAGACAGTCTCTTCAATAAATGGTGCTGGAAGTCCATTATGAACTGGCACATGCAGAAGAATGAAACTAGACCACTCTCTTACAGCATACCAAAGATCAACTCAAAATGCGTGAAAGCTCTAAATGTAAGATAAGAGTCCATCAGAATTCTAGAGGAGAGCACAGGCAACACCCCTTTTGAACTTGGCCACAGTAGCTTCTTGCAAGATACATCTATGAAGGCAAGGAAACAAAAGTACAAATGAATTATTGGGACTTCATGAAGATAAAAAGCTTCTGCACAGCAAAAGAAATAGTCACAAAACTAAAAGACAACCTACAGAATGGGAGAAACTATTTGTAAATGACATATCAGATAAAGAGCTAGTATCCAAGATCTATAAAAAAAATAGTGAAAGGGAGGGATCCCTGGGTGGCGCAGCGGTTTGGCGCCTGCCTTTGGCCCAGGGCGCGATCCTGGAGACCCGGGATCGAATCCCACGTCGGGCTCCCCGTGCATGGAGCCTGCTTTTCCCTCTGCCTGTGTCTCTGCCTCTCTCTCTCTCTCTGTGACTACCATAAATAAATAAAAATTTTAAAAAAAAATAGTGAAAGGGAATAAAGGGGAAAGGAGAAAAAATGAGTGGGAAATATCAGAAAGGGAGACAGAACATGAGAGACTCCTAACTCTAGGAAACGAATTAGGGGTGGTGGAAGGGGAGGTGGGCAGGGGGTGGGGGTGACTGGGTGACGGGCACTGAGGGGGGCACTTGAGGGATGAGCACTGGGTGTTATTCTATATGTTGGCAAATTGAACACCAATAAAATATAAATTTATATATAAAAAAATAATAAAGCATTGTAAAAAAAAATGGTCCCTTCTCTACAAATGCATTTCTCTTCTTCATTATTATTGTGAGGGGCCAAAGGTACCCCAGGCTCTGATATACTTCTTTCTCAGCATTCCCTACACACACCCTAGGGGACTTTCCGATGTAGGAGGTAGGGAGTTCATGGTCATTAGCGTGCCATCTGCCCAGTATAAGGGTGTTGAAGGCCCACCTAGCCCTTTAGTTGTAATTGTAGTTCTTGCTTTTATTTAAGATTTTATTTCATTTATTCATGAGAGATACAGAGAGAGAGGCAGAGACATAGGCAGAGGGAGAAGCAGGCTTACTGCAGGAAGCCTGATGTGGGACTCAATCCCAGGACCCTGGGATCACAACCTAAGCCAAAGGCAAATGCTCGACCACTGAGCCACTCAAACACCCCCGTAGTTCTTGCTTTTTCATCCATTTACCCTCTGTTTGAAGTTTCTCTGGAACATCCTCTTAGTTGTTTCCTCCTGGTCATTCTGGCTTCCAGTTCCCTTCACCCTTGCAGATCTCATCTGAGCTACTTTCTCTCTCTCTTTTTTTTTTAATTTTTATTTATTTATGATAGGCACACAGTGAGAGAGAGAAAGGCAGAGACACAGGCAGAGGGAGAAGCAGGCTCCATGCACCGGGAGCCCGACGTGGGATTCGATCCCGGGTCTCCAGGATCGCGCCCTGGGCCAAAGGCAGGCGCTAAACCACTGAGCCTCCCAGGGATCCCTACAAATGAGCTTTTCTTAATAAAGATTTTACTTATTCTGAGAGAGAGAGAGAGGCAGAGGGAGAAGCAGGCTCCATGCAGGGAGCCTGATATGGGACTCGATCCCAGGTCTCCAGGATCACACCCTGGGCCGAAGGCAGGCGCTAAACCACTGAGCCTCCCAGGGATCCCTACAAATGAGCTTTTTAATCAACTCACCTGGGGCTCCTGGGTGGCTCAAAAGGTTAAGCGTCTGCCTCTAGCTCAGGTAATGATCTGGGGGTCCTGGGATTGAGCCCCAGAGCCCCATGTCGGGCCCTCTGTTCAGTGGAGAGCCTACTTTTCACTCTCCCTGTGCCTGCCCCCTCCGCCTGCTTGTGTGCACACGCTGTCTCTGTCTTTCTCTCTGTGCCAAATAAATAAAATCTTAAACAAAATTTATCCTTGGGGCTCCTGGCTGGTTCAGTTGATAGAGCATGCAACTCTTGATCTTGGGGTTATGAGTTCAAGTCCTATATTGGGGGTAGAGTTTACTTTAAAAAAAAACTTAAAAAAAAAACTTATCCTTAAAAACAGTTTTCTTCCCAAATCAATAGAAGTTGGGTGGGATGGGAGATAGATGTACAGGCTCTATTTTGCCTTCCTCCTCCAATAATCTGTTTTTAGATACGTTCTATATTTTTGTCACTATATGAATGTGATTTTCCTCCATTTTATTCTCTAAATGGTTCTTGTTGGTATACAGAAACCCATCAGTTATTGTATATATGGGGCGCCTGGCTGTCTCAGTCGGTAGAGCATGCAACTCTAAATCTTAGGGTCATGAGTTCAAGCCCCACATCAGGCATGAAGCCTACTTAACAAAATAAAAAAAATTATTGTATATAATATTTTGTAGACTGGCTATATGTAGGTTCCTTTGGGGTATGGTTTTGCGGGGGTTTGTTTTGTTTTGTGTGCCTTATGACAACAAACATTTTATTTGCTCACGATTTTATGGGTCAGCTCTTCAGGTTGAGTCAAGTGGTTCTTTCACCGGTCTTGCCTGGGATGATTAATACAATTGCAGTCAGCTGGCAGGTTGGTAGAGGCCTCAGCTAGCAGGAGTCTTTCTTTGCTTCCCATGGTCTAATCCTCAAGCAGGCCAGCCTGGGCTTCTTCACATGGCAGGCTTGGGTTCTCTGACACCTGTTCATGCCCCCAGGCTCTCTGTAGGCTCCTTTGCACCAATGTTGAAACAGGACTCCATGTTTTATTCTCTGAAAAGAAAATTCATTTCACGAGGCAACATCATTATAAAAGGGCAATTTATTGCAGATTTCATAGAGAAGACTGGTGGTGAAGGAAGTATATATTTTACAGAGCTGAGCAATTCATTGCAAAAATCACCTAAGCCACCTTCCCCTCCCCCCAAAAAATATCACCCTTAAGCTATTCTACTACTGGTTCTATAGCTGGGGTGTGGGAGTGCAAGAGCACCAGGCTCCAGGGGTCCCAAACAGAACAGGTTTGGCCACTAGCCAC